ATTCCGTCCAGCAGTCATTGGAGATTACCTAGGATCTTACGCAGTGGGATGAGAATCTGGTTTCTCCGCGGACAAAGCCCAAGGTAGATCCCCAACTCGACGACGTTTGGCCCATTCTGAAGGCCCTCCGTCATTGCGACTCACCCACAGCTAGCTTTTCCAGCCCATACACACGCACACATACCTTCTCCTCTTAACCATCACACATTTCACAAGCAGTAGAACTTGGAGTGTGCGAAAATCCTGCTACAAATTACAAGTGGCTGCTCCTACATATATCGTACAAGTACATAAACTCCAACAACCTACAGCAATATCGTACAAACACAAATGCCCCGACACCTCCTCCAACAGCCTACTCAGACATAGGCGTGTAGATATCCGAAAGCTCAACTGCCAGCTCCTCATACCTGCTCATATCCCCTGCGCTCATCTCGTCAGGGTGATTGATTCTCATGTCGTCAAGCCTTTCAAGCTCACGGAGCTTGCACCACACCCTCTGTTCCCAGTCTATGATTTGAGCTAGGGGCGGGACGTAGTAAAGCTTCCAACAGTCGCTCTCCAAGCTTGCCGTCGCTTGACTCTTCTCCGTCTCGCGATAACTCTTGTCGGAATGGGCGCGGCCAGCATGCTCATCTGCCAAGCAGTGCAGCGGCGTCTGGTTCCTTGGTGCCCAACTGATGTGAATGCGCACATCTTTCTCCGCTAGTTTATCCGCTAGTCGTGCCAAACTGTCGAAGATTGGATGCATGAAGGAGTGCAATCTGGTCTCTTCTCGGTCGTACATCCAGCGACCAGCAAGTTCCTTGAGCTCCCGTATGCAATGCTGTGAATCTGTGAAGATGCGTACCGTTTTGCGGTACACATCAACACCACGTTGACTGTGATCAGCAATAATTGTTGAGGCCCGTGAAACCGCCTCCGTAATTCCCATCAGCTCGGTTTGGTTGACGTCAATTGCCTTTGACATCTTCCAGCCGAAGGCTTCTTCGGCACCAGTCCTGACTCCTGGGCCAGGGTTCTTGAAGGCTATAGCGAAGCCCCCAGTGCCAGTTGGCTCATACTCCTGAGCACTCTCGGCACTGTCCCAGGAGCCATCAGTGAATAGAACCAAGTTGAGATCGTCCCCAATAAAGGGGAACTCTTTTGAGGCTCTAATAGCAGCGTGCCGCGCAGCGTCCGGATTGAGTATCGAAAATTCGAAATTGCGAAAAAATTGGAACTCTGGTACAAAGAACCCGCGTTCCAAAGCATTTTCGAGGTACCATTCAGTACAGATCGGAGGATCTAGTATTCACCAGTTAATAAGAGTTTTAATTTACGGTTATCCTCGCGAACAAGAGTTTACACCGCTTTGCAATGCGGATATGCTACCAAGATTTCCGACTTTGACCACAGGAACTGAGAGGGCTCGATTGGTTTCAATAAACCAGCCGGTCTTCTCGCATTAAAGGACCCTCGCCAAAGCTCCTGATCGCGGATGAAAAAGGGTTATGCAGAATAAACTCTTGTTCGCGCAAGTAACCCGTAATAAAATGTGAGGGGGTGTGTGGAACTGCCTACCTGACGTAAACGATGGACCATGCTCGGCCCGGCCGTCACCCTCAATGTCAAGGTTCTGACCATTGTCGCCGTGGCCGCCAGCGTCCTTGTTGAGAGCTTTCGTGGATTTACCACGCGCGGATTTACCACGCGCAGATTTACCACGCGCGGATTTACCACGCGTAGATTTCTTACGCGCAGATTTACTACGCACAGATTTACCGCGCGCAGACTTAGCCGGCTTCTTCGATCGTCCAGCTGCGAGGGCCACCGGGCCGGAAGCCTCTGACCGCTCCCCACCCTACGGAAAACGCGCCACGAGACCGACGTTTCGGCTGGTAGACCTCGCAGCCGCTGGGTCTCCGGGCTTGACTTTGGACCTAAAAATCTCGACGTTAGTGAACATCCTGAAAACGCCTGTAGGAAAAGTTGTGAAATCACTGGCAGCGCCTGCTGAAAGATGAACGGCCGTGTTCGTGTGAGGCTCTGCTATCAATACTCGAAAGACGAGATGTTGTGGGCGAAATGTTATGTACCCGATATGTTTGGGCTTGAGAGAAGAAGATCTGACTTCCGGACGCATTTGAACTCGGACATTGGGGACGTGAAGAGTGGGCGGAAAATTTGCTCTTTACCCTCCCATGGGTTGAAGGGGAGCAGGGGTTGTTGGTCAATTCAATGAACGCCCGGGGATGGATATTTCCGTCTTGAATTGCACCAGCGAAGGGTGGTTTGGAGGGATAGTTTTGGAAGGGACCTCTTAGGGCGTTTGATGCATCAGAGATTGAACCATCCAGTGTGCCCTTTCAGGCTTCCTGTCACTCGCCCAGGATATGATGGTCAACTCATCATCACGAGTAACAATGCTAGTCACTTGGAGGAACTACCACCCAAGCCGACTTGGCCATTGTCGAGATTATGGAATGTCGAGAACGGTGCGACAAAAAGGAATAGGTCCTGACGTGGCTCTGCTCGACCAGAATCGATGGATGAACGGAAACGGGACGCACCTGGACATTTTCTCCAGTTCTGCACAGCTTCAAGACAGGTGTCTTGCGTGCTTGATTTTTGTGAGACTGGCGAGTGAGGACAAAGTTAGCATGGAACGTTTCATGCGAGATTTCGTCTGAGATTTCGATGACTCTCGGATTGGTAGGGTAGGTAAATTCTTTGACGTGTAGGGTCCAGCGCAGAATGGTGGAAAATACTTACCTTTTACGAACGACACGCGAGGAAAAGAAAAACGAAGCGAATGGGAACTCGATCGGTTGCTGGGGAGAAATACAATTCTCGCCGGCGCTGATCGCGGATTGCCTTGCTTCTTCGATCTTGCGAGAAGAAGAGAGGAAAGAGGGGCAAAAAAAATTTGGGCGCCAAAAAGTACTCAACGGGCGTGGGAACTCCCACGAGGAAAGAAGGTGAGCGCGAAGGGTGCTGTGGGGAAGGAGACAAGGGTGTGTGGGGCGACCGCCCCAGTGAACCATTCGGCCATTTGAACTGCCAGGTCCCCGAGTATCTCAGCTCAACAACCCGATGTTGTAACGGCAGTATGTCTATGATACCAGGAGCATTAATGCCCAGAAGAGGGGCGGAGCTTATGGTGCTCCGGGGTCTTCAAGGTCCAGTTCGACCAATCTCTTGGGCTGCGTTAAGTGCCGGGCGAAACAATAGTTCACCTGACGAGGCTTTATCTATCACCCTCCCCACCCTCAAATTCAACGGTTCACTGGTGTAATGGTCGCACACCTGCGAGGCGATGAACGGTCTGAAGGGGGGCAGTCGGGAACTGCGTCGCAGAAAGGTCCCAGTTCGAATCTGGGGTGAGTCTCTTTTTTGACATTTTTGTCGTTATATCCCACCCCGCCCTGTTATGTTTTGCTTATTTTTGGTCTTTTGACTCGAGCCTCCAAAAGGATTGTTTTATTTATGACGAGCTGGTAAATGCATTGACTCGCAGTTAAATCACAATGATTCAACTAGACTCGCTGATGACGCTCGACGCGTCGCAACCACGATCCGTATCGGTGGGTTTGCTACCGGGTCATATATGCCCACCCTCTCCCCTAATCTCATTTAAACCCACGATATATTTCACAAGCTTTTGTGTGCAAACATTGAGGTTAAACTTGAGTTTGGCATGGAGAATGGAGATCTGAAATATGCCTCCCTTCGATGGGAACAGCGTGCCGACATGTATGAATTACCTGACACGCAGCGCCACGAAATGGCGGATATTATCACCGAGGGAAACTTCTGTTTTCCGATTTTACCACTTATCTTGATTCTGTCTAGTCCATTTGAAGCCAGAAACCCCTTCAAGCAGTCTTGTTTACGATGCTGAGACCACCCGAAGTGGACGCAACCCACCGAACGCGGCACAGACAGACAGTCGATATTTGTCATGTGAGCCATGTGCTTTTTCACCCGGCGTACCAAGATAGCGGATTTGTCTCTCCTCGCGTCATTGCGATTGGAATGTGCTGAGTTTCCTCATCCATCGAGAGGTTGTCGTTGGATTGATGACACATCAGGGCGACGAGAGTGGGTCCATCGTCAACGTTGCTCACAACTTCACAAGCAGGCAAGCGGGTGTCAATCCAACTCAAGGCAAGTGCATGCAAAATTCGATTGCACTGTATTCGCCTGCATGATGCGCCGTCGTTTGGAAGATCGAGCAGAATTCGGTCATCTCGTTTCTACCCTGTCACGTCTGCCTGGCAGATCAAGTGCGTCGAGGCTCGCACTTGCCGTATTGGGAAGTGGGGTGAGTGGGGGTCGGTTGTTTTGACGTCACCTCCCCCACGCGGCAACGCGACGACGTGATGTAACGGCCGAGAACAAGACTTGACTAGACAATAACATCGTCCTTGTATCATTTTATATTAAGGAAACCATCGAGGCATCTCGGCCTTGCAGTTTGGCCTTTTCACCATCAGGCCACGGCACTGTATGGTTTCTGATGGGGCGGGCGGTTGGCGTGGGGTAGGCCCTTGTGTTAAGTTTGCTTCCACAGAAACAAGACGACAAACTCTGGCAAGAATTTGGCCCGCCTTTTGAACAAAACCGCTGCCTGGGAATGACGGCTGGATTGAATGCTCGGGCCGATGCGCTGGCACGTCGCCTGAAACTATCAATGGAACGGATATCCGCGACGTTGATGCACGAAGTCTTCACTCAGACACATCACGAGACTGCCCACGGCCTGATGTGGGTTTAGTTATCAAAGATGTAAGCAGGTTCATTTCTATGGAAATAAGATCATTCGCCAAACGCCACAGATTGAAAAATGAAAGCGAAGTCATATCGTAATTATTGGTGCTGTGGCTGGATGTGAATGTGTCCTCACGCACGTGTCGCGGGTGTCGCGGGCTATTGCAGTCCTGTACGGACGGGTGTTGTTGGGGGGGAGGGGCACTGGGCCAACTATATGAGCTAGTTTCCGACACTGCAATAATAACGGCTCGTTGGTGTAGTGGTAGCACTGCTTTGTGGTTGCCACGGGAGGTCCTGAAGGGGGGCAGGGCCAACTGTGGCAGCTCGAAGAGCACGCCCCAGTTCGAATCTGGGACGAGTCGCGTTTTTTTTTACTTTTTTACAGCCAATCAGTCGGTCAGTCGCCTTTACATAAATAAGGCACTATTCTTCACCGACGGCCGTTTATCTTCCTTGTTCAATTGCTTTCGGACTTTCTTCCCTCTTTAACAAGCTTTTTCGTCATTACATACCAAGGAGTTAATAGCGCCTTTGGTCGCAGCAGCTTTGGCGGCGACCCAGGACAGGATTGTTGACCTGTGGGGAAGAAGCGGGCTATCCTCCCGAGGCTGACCTTCGGTATTGCGAAGAGTTTTACAATCAAAGAAGTTCGCGCGCGAGAAAAGCTGGGATGTCGAAGAAAAAACAGATTGGCCTCCCTCAGTGCCGTGAATGGCCGATCACGCCGTTACTCAGGACCACTTACCTAACCCAGGGTCATCAAGTTATGTGACTAACCCATTCTTCACTAAAGCACCCCGTGGTACTGCGGGACGAGAGGCCAAATAGTTTAATTACAAAACCGCTCAGCAAATTAAAATGAAAAGGAAACGCCTACCCCTTCAACCTTTCACCTATTCCGTCGCTTACCTCCATCAACCGAACAAATAAACGCAATAATCTGACCAGAACCCCATCCTATCCTAAATGATACGAACAATAGACCACACCACACTCCGTAGAACTCGTGGTTTAATCCGAGCGAGCGGGTGTTTTCCCCTTGGTCCGCCGCGACGCTGAAGACACTCGAGGTTTGCAATATCGGCACATTACATAAGAATACACTTTCTGCCCAGAAATAAAGCACCGTACGTCAATACGGATTCCATTTCTTCGTAGTTAGGTCGCTTCTTCGGGAAAAAAAAGTGCAGTCGAAGCTTAAACAACAGCATTGTATTTTGACGACTCTGTTGATTGACAAAACAAACCAGGGAGCCTCGATTCCAAATGGGGATTCCCTGTATGCGATCATTGTCCGCTGTTGGTGAGGGCTGTGCAGCTCCCCACACACGCGACTTTTCATTCCGGTCCCCGCTACCTTTCGCGTCCTCCCTTCGCTGCACATAGAGCTAGCCAAGCTAGCCAACCAGCTAATAAATTGGGAATTGTATTGCGTTTTAAAATGGTACCAATCCTTGACATTGAGATTCGGAAAACAGAACAATGAGATTGAGCAGTGGTGGTGATAAACACTACAGCGCCGAGCGGGAACCGCCTGGACCCTGGCTGCAGAGAAACCGGACTCCCGTCCCGTTGGCTGGGATTTTGATTTCAAATACTGTTGCACGAATGCTCAAGTATTAACTAAACAAGCAAGACGTCGACAATATAAGATTACATTGGAAGAATTTCGTAGTATGACTGTATGGGTGCTGTGAACCTGTTAATTGGGGCAGATGTGAGATCGCAGCGATGGTCGCGTGTTTTAGTGGGGGACTTTGTTCCTTTAATTGGGAAGGGCCACGCACACACCTTCTGGGTATAATAGCTAGTTTTCCAGCTCGTAATAATAACGGCTCGTTGGTGTAGTGGTCGCACAGCTAGTGCGGGAGAGAGGGGAGGTTCTGAAGGGGGGCAGGACTGACCCCTCGCCCGACATGAGGGGCCCAGTTCGAATCTGGGGCGAGTTGTTTCTTTTTTATTTAATATATTCTTTGTTTTTCGGATGACCAGTGGGTCTCTACGAAACACCTTGCGCTCCCTTAGGGACCTGTGCTGCTTCCTTTTCCACTTTCATTGCAATTTTGTCATCCTTCAGCAAGCTTGGGAATAAAAGCAAAACTAGGAAATAAAAAGCTGCAAAGGTAAATGGAAAGAGAATTCTTGATAGAGAGAGTAAAAAGGAACGAAAAAAGAAATGCAGCGGCTCGGGTCGTCGGAACTTTTATCCTAGCATACCAAAAAACTTCAATACAGTGAAAGAGGAAATAACCATTGCAGGCTCCAGTGCCATTCATTTGAGATATTGGGAAAGGCGATAGTTGAATGGTGTTGTGCGAAGACGGGGGGGGGCAAAAAAACAAAAAAAACAAGAATTGAACGACTTGTCCCAGATTCGAACTGGGAGCTCTTCAGTGCGCTCCGCGTGAGTTGCCCCGGCTGCCCCCCTTCAGACGCGAGGATCTACCCCCAGCTTAACACAAGACGTGTGACCATTACACCATACAAGCCGTTCGTACTTTGGGGACTGGGAAGCTAGCATATATAGCCAAGATCAGACGCGCAAGTCTCATGAGAGGAACCAAACACCGCGCAGGCGAACCCCGCATCCGATGTATCGTGTTGCCTTCCCTCGTTGCTTTCCACCCCCACCCTACCGTGCTTTTGAATGCATTTGAGGATGTTGCTTAATGCTATAACGTCTCAGAAATGGTCATGCCACAACGCTCAAGATGCCGCCGGTTACTCGCTAGTTATTCTTAACATTTTCCTTCTTCTTTTATATGCGATGTCATTGCTGTACCCAGCTTGCAAACGGATTGGTTTGTCCACTTCTGGTTAGTTTCTACCTATACTACCCAATGTCGCCCAAACCTCGATTGCGGTAGTATGATTGCGTGGTCAAACAATGGTATTGTTGTGCTTTAACTCTGTTTTGAACGTAACAGAGCCATCTTTGTCGTTTGTTCCGCATACGCGTCCATCCGACGACTACTCGCAATGACTCTCAGGCTCGGAATCCAACTGCCAAACCACCAAATTCCCCAAGGTTCAGCAAGGCCGATGGAGTATAAACCGGCGAAACGCTTTCCAGGCCTGGATCCCCAATTATCAACACGTCTCACAAAATTCTTACCATCAAAGACGCCGGGAACCTAGGCCGTCTTTGGCGCCAGGGATAAGAACATATCCCCGGCCGTGCGACTTTATCAACAAAATAGAACGGACGACCAAAAACATTGGAAGCGATGGCCGGGGTGAATGGTGATAGAGCTGTTCACCTGTCATCAGAACTGCAAGACCAAACAATGGCAAAAAAGGAAGCTCGTCCCAGATTCGAACTAGGCCCCTCTCCCCAACTATCAAAGCGGTCTCCTGCCCCCCTACAGGACCTGCCGGGATAGTCGAGTGAGCTGTGCGACCATTACACCAACGAACTAGGGCTTTACAAGAAGGAAAACTGGTACAAGAATCCCAGAGGCCGGGTTGGCCGAGAGGGGAAGTTAACGGCGGTCTCTTTCGCATCGAATATCTCCCTGCACCTCCCCGCCTTCTTGAATACTCGACACATTCACTTCTTAACATGACCTATGTATATAAACTTGCATGGTAAATACTGATTTCAGCATCGCCAAGCCTCCTTTGGCAGGACTTCGCGACCCATTGACTTCGGATCGTCCGTCGACGCCCACCGTGGGACCCCACCACGACGCGCCTTTCAAGATCTGAAGGTTCTCGAGGACGTCAGACGGACGACGTGCCAATCACCCAGACGAGATGACATCTGGCGATCGAGGAGAGGGACTCGCAGAGTTGGAACTCTAGTTAGCAGAGTTTTACAATCTCGTATTTGGTCAACAACACGTCGCTCTTCACACCCGCGCAACATCCTACCCAACACAGATCGAGTGGACCATGAATACGTCGACTACAACGAAAATCATGGCAATCGCGGTGGCTTGCCGTTTTACCAAGCCTTGACCCTAAGATATTGTACCTTCGTACGTCAGTGACCACATGACGCTGACCAAAACGCAGCACGCAGATGGCGAGGAGCGCAGACCGAATCAACCGGCATCGGTCCAGAACACCAAAGGAGGGGATAATGAGCCCTTTGCAGTGCAGACAAGTCGATACTAACCAGCAGCAGAACATTCCCGCAACCGGCCAGCCACCACCATCGCCAAAATGACATTTTGTCATGACAGATATTACCTTATTACACCATCCCAGAAACTCCCACCAACCGCCGCGAGCCCGGCTGCATTTGGAGACGCTCGTATTGCACTGTCATCTGCACGCCCACCTTTAGTATACACAACTCGTCACCAGAGGGGAGAAACCGACAAATAATGAGCTTCACCAGTTTTGGGCCTGTAACAGCAAACGTATCAATTCTTCGAGGGGAATGGCATATCCAAAAAGCTACCCAAGCTCAGCCACCACCCCTGGAGGTTGAACCACCCTCTCCCTCGGCGGTTGTGTCTGTGCTAACCACCTCCTCCACCCCTCCAGGATCCGATTTCTCTCGGCAATCCGATCGGCCACAAACTCGGCCTGGTCAGCCTGTATCTTCTCGTCGATCTTCTCCAGCATCTTCTTGACCTCATCCCTATACGACCCTCCAAAAACCCGCTTGAGCGCTCTCATCGGGTTGAACGTGATGACGCTCTTCGGCCCCAGCACCGACATGGTATCGCTATCCTGCTTCGAGGAACCCCCTGTTGGCGGCAGGACCGACGACTCAGACGTGTCCTTGAGCAGGACGAGATCGACCTGGTACATGAAGCCGTAGATTGAAAAACGGGACAGCATGGCCGCGTTCTGCTCCCACGCCTCTTCTGTCGCGCCGAGCTGAATGCCAAGCTGTCTGGATTCTCGAAGCTGTTTCTGGATCTTGACACCAATGGCTCGCGTCTCATCGGCACAAATCAGGGCGGTCAACAGGGCCACCAATTTGCTGAATACCCGCTTAAAGTATTGCACCCTCCATCCTATCATTGGCCCGTTAGCACTTGACGACAAGCTCCTGGGAGGGAAAGCAGACTCCCGGAAAAAGAAACCCCACTCACGCTTTATATCCTTCAGCGCCGTCACCGACGTGCTCAGCGTGTCCTCGGTCGAGTCCCACACGGCGGACTGGATAGCCTGCGCAAAGACAGCGTCCTTCTCCAGCACCCAGGCCGCGTTGGCGTATTTCAGCGTCTCATCCTCCTTGATGCGGAGCGGCGGCCGTCGCCAGCAGTACTCATGCCAATCCACGCCCGTGGCATGTTCCCACGGCTTGTCAAGCCTCTCCCACAAGCCGGAAAACGCGGCGGGGTCGCACCCGTAATACCACAAGGCGTTGCAGCGGCGGGACAGTCGATCGATGGGAATACTC